TGCGAGCTGCTGTGGAATGCCAGTCGAAGAGCTTAAATCAAGAAAAATGCACAAACTTTGTGGCAATCCTGAATGACTAAATTGTTAATGTTACACTGTTCAGAAGAGTCTCAATCAACAAATAGCCCAATATACAGTTTTCACAATCATTGTTTTCACCTGTGATGGTTGTCAGGTGGTTCGCTCCAGAGAATGTTGTTGAATTAAAAGAATTAGTAAGAACAATATAGCATGCATGAAAATTGAATTACTGAATGCAAACAATCACGCAGGCATTTAATTGTTTTAAAATTGTTTTTGCTGGCATTTCTAATTATCTAAATTACATTCTCTTCATGAGAATATTGCAAAGTACACTTTTTGCAGTATTTGATCATATCAAACTCCAAAAAGGGGTGGGTGGATAAAAGCACTGTTTAGTGTACAATTTGTGGCGTTTTTGAAGTGATTCATTATACTGACTGTCAAATCTATTCTACTTCATCATTGTCAACACCCACACATGTACACATTATATTACAGAATGAAAAAGAGAAAAATAATAATCTGTACAAAGCAGCAGTGAAAGAGAGAGATACATTCAAAGAAGAAAAAGAGAGGGTCTTGGTTGAGAAAGACAAATTAGAGGGAAAACTTCAGTTATTTCAACTTGAAAAAGACCATGCGAATAGCAGATTTAAACAACTTAATGACAATAAAGACAAATTAGAAGAAGAGAAAAATAAGGTGAGTGATTTTGCATAAAGTTATAGAACAAATTTTAAACTATGTCAAGTTAGAATAATCCTTTCCTTGCATATAGATGATTGTTTCACGACACAATCCGAAAATGACTTAAAATTTGACTACTGTCTGTTCCTGTGACCCTTATTTCAGACTAACTAACTTTAAAATTGGTACACACATGACACAAGTAAAAATAATGTTTATTAACATTTTCACATTTCGCAGTGAGATGGCACTGGTTACAAGGACAGTAAATGAAAACACAAACAAAATTAATTCTGAAGTAGGGCCAAATAAAATAAAATTTGTTTCTGGTAACTTATTCTTGTCTAAATTTTGTAATCAGACTCTATATCTAAGCTGGAAAGTGACTCTTGGAGTGAGTTCTGTTTTTAGATGCAAGTAAGACAATTTTTGTGCCTCATGTGTATTTTGAAAATTTTATTCACATTTTGCAATATGCCCAGTAGTATTGAAGATATTATTTAAAATAAAAAAGTAATGACAAAATAAAAAGTTATACCCTACCTACTTACCCTATTTTTGTTTTCAGTGTTTTTTTTTTGGCCTAACAAATCAATGCACGTATTGTGAAATGCGCGACTACTAACTTCATAATCACTAATCATCATTCTTTGCTATGTATCATAATAGATTCTCAAAGAGTATGAAGATATAAAAAACTGCCAGAAACAATTACAGGAGCAGCGAGATATAGCTATGAGAGAAAAGAATGAAGCCTTAGCAAAAACTCAACAGAGTGAAATGAAAATAAGTACGTTGCAAGAAGAGTTGTCCAGGTCTAAAAAGGAAAGTGAGAAACAATCGGAAATTGTGCAAAAACTTAAAGAAGAACGACAACAAGGAGCACAAGATTTGAGATCGCAATTGTAAGTATTTATTTTGCTTATCTGCTTTACCCAAACTGGCCAAAACTCTCAGACATCATCTTGAATGTTGGGGTAAAAAGAAACATCAGGTTAATGTCCGAGGAATTTCACTATTTTGATATTTGCACCATTTTCATTGGGTTTAAATAGCAGTTTTGTCATAAAACAAGATTTATATTCTCAAGGACATTATTATCTGCGAAAATTGCAAAATTCCAGCCTGTCAAGCAATTTAACACTATGAATTACATTAGGTATGAATTACATATTAAAGCTTACTCTCCTGGGTATTTGAAACCAAAATCGGCACTCAACTCAGGAACCAATCGGCCACGATCTTACAATTAGATGACAATTTCGGTTTCAAATACCTAGGGAAAAGTTCCATGTTCTTTGTGTTATTAGGTGTTCGTATGTCAGGGATTTTTCCATACAAAACAATGATTTCTGCCCAATTTTGCTAGTGGTTGGTATAATAATACCCCGAACAGTTCATTTGGCTGTGAAAGATTGGTATTATTTTCTGATTTGTATGAATCTGAAAAAAATATTTTATAACTTGTCTCTTTATTTAGTTTAATGGCGCCCCCCATATAGTAAATATTGCATTTATTTTATTATCACTTGTTCGCCAGCTGACTGTGGTGAAAATATCCATAGTGTAGGCTCCTCCTAACACTGTAAAATCTGTATTAGAAACTGCAGCATCTATTAAAATAGTACAATGCAACAGAGGGGATACAGCTTCTATTAGAGCATCTACACATATCAGAAGTGATTTATTTTTGGTTCTCAATTGTTCAAAGAAAATGGGTGGTCTTTTCCTAGCATTGCAGCTTCTAATGCACATTTTACGGTACTGTTTGTCACCCATAGTCTTATATCTTTCCATGCAGATATTTCTGAGAATTTTGCTTCGAGATAGGACCATGTATGACAACGGCTATAGTATGTCTCACTATAGCTAGATGGAATATCAAACTCACCATTGTCCTGCGAAATTACGTAAAATTTTGTTTCACACTTTTATTGTTATGCAGAATAAATCCCCCCCCCCCCCCACCACCCATAAGTTGTTGGTTATTAGCAAAAGCAGAAACATTTTCATTTGCTGGTGTCAGGTTAATCGTAAATGCATGGTATTTAGCATGAGTCAGTATTTATAGTTGCACATGTAGTGTAAAAGGTGGATACTGTTACTGAAGGACACCAACCCAGCGATAAACTTATGTAAACATTGAGTATCATAAAACATTTGCTTTTGATGCCTATCTATGTGGCTATTTATTTTTAATAATAAGATGTCCTTGAGGGTGCTACAATGCATACTTAACTAGAATAGTTTTCTTCTGAAATTAAAGTTATATATTATATTGATCAATATGAAATTAAGACTAAGTTAAGTTTTGTTATAGCTTGCATGTATATTGGTGAAAATAGGTTCTAAGATCACTATTGTTTTAATAAAAGTACATACTTTTAACAACAACTTAAATAAACATTTG